CGGAGACGTAACACTATCTAGAAAGACTACATCGAAATGTTAGACCACAGCACCTGATCATTCTATAGTTCTTAGTTTTTCTATTGTATTGGCATTAATATGCAAGCACAAATTTATTTATTTGTTGTTTAGCACAAAGCAACACCAAGGGCTATCTGTACTATGTCCACTGCTGGGATCTAACCTCAATTTTTTGCGCTTTCAGATGATACAACGAGTGGCGTGCAAACAGCTACTTGCAGTGTTGTCACCGTACCTTTAAAATATGTGCATGTTACGGGCATTGACAGAAGTCCGGCCAAAGTTGTCAATGTCTGTTGAGTACATACTAACAGGCGTCATTTAAGTGGCCCGAGTTTAGTTCCAATTTACATGAAGTTATAAATCGCGAGACTAAATTTATGTTCGATGGTGACGTTTCGAGCAGCTATCCTTCGTTAGTTTGTTGAATTTTGTTTCCTATTCAGTTTATGCGTAAAGTTGCACAGTCATGTACATTCGTCTGTTTCCTCTGCGGGTATCAAGTCCCGAACTTTGGCGCAGTTAGTTGAACTAGTCAAAATTGCATGCATTCCTTAGCATGGAATTTCGTCTTTATTTGCATGTATCGAACTACATACAAGTTTATATAAGCTCGTTTGCTGATTTGACACTTACCATGTACTTGTCACCATGTTTGGTTTGAAGCATGCGCGCAGCTTCTTTCAGGTTGCTTCTGTACGTAGCATCTGTTCCCGACTCTGGGAAAGTCAGAACTGAAAAAAAAGAAAAACGGTAGTTGGAAAAGATACCAAGAGTTTTTATCTCATTAAAAAATACGAACGTATTTGATCTGAATCTCATTGAATGAAACCCAAATTCAAACTTTTCGTAATTAACTCACGCGTTATTCTTAAATACTCCTGACAAGTTTGTGTATTTTTCTATACAGCAAAGCCACACCGGGCTATCTACTGTGTCCACCGAAGGGAATCGAACCCCTGATTTTAGCGTTGTAAATCCGTAGACTAATTGCTGTTCCATCGGGGGACAACAAGTTTGTTTTAAGTTTGTAGTCCTTTGTATTAAGTGTAAATACGTTAAATTTTCGCGAGAATGTTAAATATTTTTCCCAATATTAAATCTTAAATAAATATCTAAACAAGCGCCATCACTTGTATACTGTCAACTAGAGTAGACCATTATAATCATGGCCTCTGCTTTATCAGTTCTGATCCAATTGTAAAAGAGTGACGCGTAGCTCAAACTTTTTTTACCTAAAACTTTTAGATCGCTACAATTTTCTCATTTAAAGAAAATTAATGTTCACTATTCTGTCTATATTCTAATAATCTAAGTACATTGTGGAGTTATTTGTTAGAACGTTGAATAATGACAACTACACAAATATACTTATTAATTACAGCTCCGATTTATTCTCAAAGTGAATCAATATCTCAAACATTCAGTTTTTAATATATGATCTAATAATCATTGATTTAATTCTTGGAACATTCAGTGATAACAACCACTAAAAATATTTATCAATCATCATTAAAATATGGCAAAATAATAATTAAAATTAACCATTGTCTAAGATGCTGATGATGCAAGAATAAGAAAAAATATTTCTTATATACAAATAATGAAAATACATTTATCGTAGTTCCTATTTTGTACACTAGATGCCAATAAAGTTACTGACTGTACAGATTACATTGATGAATATTAGCTATAGGAGGAGTGATATTATTGTTTTTTCTTTATTTGTAGTTAATTGCAAAGCTACATCACGGGTATCAAAACCCGGTTTCTAGCGTTATGAGTTCGCATACTTACCACTGTGCTACTGGGGGAGGTATAGGGGGTGATTACAAAACAAAGTAGCGAAAGAGAAATTTGGCATTTTGTTATAATAAGGAGTTTAAAAAGGAAAAATTTAATGAAAAACTTCAGATCACTTGCTGACTTTAGTGAAGGAAGATTATAAGTTTGCTTGGGGGAAGGGTGGGAGTCTAAATTCTAAACACTTTAGATACATCTATTTAATATCATTCATACTTTATATAATTATAAAGTCGGATAGATCCCTAATTCTGGAAAAGTGCGTGTACCCGTGATCTGAATTCAAGACTTGTAACAAGTATTAATTCCGCTTTATAACAGGAGGATCGACAGGATGCATCACGAAATAATACTGAATTTAACTAAACTGACCTTCGTCGAATGTAAGAGTGTGTTTGAATACATATTGCATTGGTAATTCAGTTTTTTGTATTTCTAATTTTCCATTACATCCCATTCATACAGATTTTTTGATAATTTCTAAATTACATTTACACTGCAATTATAAATTACTAACAAATCTACTGTTATTTATGGAACACAATGATTACTGAATACCCTAGGTTAGCTCTTTTAATCAACATGTTTAAATACTCTATTTGCATAATATGAATTAAGCCTCTCATAGATGTATCGTGGTTGTGTTGTAAAGTTGGGTAGAATGTTAAAAATAAATGATATTAAGTTAAAAATAAAAATTCAACAATTGACAGCGGATTCTTAAGGTAGGGGAGAAAGCACTTCTGCAAACAACGAAACAACCATGCATCGTTTGCGTAGATACTATTAATATAGGATACGAAACAAATGAACGTGGCCTAATGATTAGCGTGCCCAGCTGTCGATCAAAAGGTCCGAGGTTCGTGCCGCGATGCCGCTGAATATGCTCAACATTTTCAGCTGTGACTATGGGTGATAATTTAATTCAACATTAGACAAAGCTCTTGGGGCGAAGAGTGCTGCTAACTAGATGTCCTCCTTCTGGCCAATAGTTCAAAATTAGGGACGACTGGCTGGCTATACCTGAAACTTAAGGGTTATGACCAGGCCGTTTAGCCCCAATGTTGTATAAAGTACCGTTCAAGTTACACGTACTAATGCATGAAAACATCCACTAGCACTGCGTAACAATGAACATTTTACGACCTAAATTCAGACGACGTGATAATCATTGCTAGAGGCTACATTTTGTTTAAGTTTATTCTGGCAAAGTTACTGCTATCTAGAATTGTTTGTCCATACCTTGTAATAATTTGAATAGCAGTCAAACTATGAGAGCTTACAAGCGTATTCATAGCTAAAACTATTTTGTCTACTTGTTTTATTGTTAACACTTACATTTCTAACTATTTTATCTTCTGTTACATTCGTGTCTTTTAGTGTGGTTTGATTATTTAACAATTTTTGTAATAATCACCACGAATTTGACCTTACACTTTCAATAAGATTTCAACATCTAAAAAGCAAATATCTAAAAACAGCGCTTTAAAAATATAGTTCCATATCCGGAATAGAAAATCGACGTAAGCACACGAAAAAAAAAAAAAAAAACCTGATAAGGAATTTTCAAGTTATCTTGGTTTGAAGTCGTCTAGCGACACCTGGTAGTTGTCTTGCATCCAGGAAAGTTTCATTTTTTAAATTTTTTTATACTTTCCATTTTTTCATTGTGATTATGTTTTTGTACTTAGATTTAAAACACAGTATTATATATATATCAAAATTAAGCTGATATTTAACACTTCTACAGTGTTGAAACATTACTCTATCCCATCATGAGTATTTAATGAACAAATTAGACTCACGTCGAGGACAAACGCTGTTAGCATGCTTAGCGAACAAATAAAAGGCTACGTTTGTTTGTAGTAAGAACAAAGCTACACAATGGGCTATCTGTGCTGTATTCACTATGGGTATCATGGTGTTCATGAGCGCTGATATACCTGAAAACTACTGTTTTTATCTCACTTGATAACATCACATATCACCGAACTACCTGTGTTCATGAGCGCTGATATATCTGAAAACTACTGTTTTTATCTCATTTGATGACATCACCATCACTGAACTACCTGTGTTCAGGAGCGCTGATATAACTGAAAACTAGTTGTTATCTCACTTGATGACATCACCTATCACTGAACTACCCGTGTTCATACAGCTAAAAATACTAGTTTTTCTGTCATAGTATGTATATTAATCTGATATGAGAAAGTTTATTCATGTTATAATCCTTATTAGCATCTGAGAAAATGTGTTTCTCCAAAATTCTCGGAAATATTTTCAACTGTAAATGTACGAAGCTAAATATGTCAAACACATTCCTGTCAACTTAGAAACATCGTCGAAGTGACATCGCATTTAGCCTTCCTCATCCCCATAAATACAAGAAAATCACCCTCCTAACAACGAAAACCGACAACACAAAGCACAGCCTCTGTGTTAATGATGGACAATTCGATTCATTTGATTCAGTTTATGAGCCAATTCAAAAAATTAGTTCATTCAAACGACACAAATCTAGTGAAGGGTTACTTGATCGGAAAATGACTAATATACATACTAAAGTTGGTTCTCTCGATATGTTGACAGAAGACTATATTTTAGTAAAATTCTTGGAGAAAACTTCAGAATATGAACTAATTAATATAGCTGAGCCCAAATTTCGACAACTTTACCAAAACCTCCTAGTCTTAGCTAGCGAAATTGAATACCAAAAGTAGACCATCCAAACAACACGACGGTGGTGTATACTTGTAGTACGACAGAAGCAGTAGTAGTAGTAGTGATAACTATAAATAATGGCGACGATAATAATAATAAATTTTAATAATGGTAATAATTATTATTAATATCATGATCATTATTTGTTATTTTAAAGACTATGGTTATTATCATAATACAGATTTTGCGTGTACATCTGAGTTGGAAATTCCAGAATGATTATCGTACCGGATTCAATAGCTTATGAATAATTTCACGAGTTTATATTTACAGGCTACTTACTTTTCTTGTCACGTTGCTTATTGACCGAATGAATCAAAAGAATCAAATCAAACAGGACTCTAACTGAATTCCCATGATAGAGCGTAATCAGTCGTTTAAAAAGAAGGAATCATTTATGAACGTCACATCTCTATTTTGTTCATAAAATGTGGTCATCAGTTTCACGTGAATGTATACAGTTTGACAATAAATGTGAATTTCAATAAAACGTACATGCGCGAACCTTTTTCAAGGCTTTATGGCTATGCTGCTTTCCAATTATCTTCATTGACATTCTCAAATGTTTACCCTACAGATGTACAAGAAACATATTATAATAACAACCTATACCGTACACAAATGTCTGACAGTGAACAACAATATTTATAGCTCGTTGAACAAACATCTTGGCATGTTAGCAGTACTTACCAATGATACGTTCTGTGATGTAAGTGATATCCATGATAAACCGAGGCAACTTCTCCGGAGTCCTAAATCAAATATGAAAGAAGAAAAAAAAGTTTACATATCTTCCCCGTGACGCCTTTAGGAAGACCCCTAGAAAATGTCTAATTGAATATATGTTTTTATCTTAAAAAATTCGTGACTTATGATAAAGGCCTACAGGTGATTCTGTTTGAGTCGCCATGACGGAAAACCAGTACTGAAAAAGATTAGGCTAACAAAGACTTGGCCAGTTTTGTATCAATGTACAAACACGGTGAACAAGTTCAATCTCCTGAAGTTTTCTTAGACCTATTTTATAAATCACATTTTAAATCGATTAAACAAAAAGCATATCACATATATCTATTTGCTATATAAAATAAAAGACTACATTTAACAAATACAAATTCTTTAAATTATATTTACCTCAGAATTTCATATTTTCTTCTTCTTCATTAGCCCACAGGTATTACAACTTACAAGATCGATTGCATTATACCAAGTTAAAACTGCATGGGCCACAAAGATGGTTAAGTTCTTTTAATCTATGCTATACTTAACGGTCAAATTACTTTAAAATAAAAGCAAAACTGAATACCCGGTGTTTAAACATTAATATGATTATGTCAAAAAAGTAGGCACTATGACATTTTTTAGTTAAAACAGTGTATTAAAATCAGCTGCATTTAGTTGCGAAGCTATGGATTCCAGATTTACACGAATGAAAACCAAAAACACAATTTAGCGTTCAAGATAAGAAACAATTAGGCATGAGAGGCATGGCGTCACATTGAACTCGACATTTTCATTCTTTATACTACCGGGCCATTAAACAACTAACTTGCTGAGTAACTGCGTTTATCTAAAAGTATTATTACAAAAAACTGTAAAAGAAATTTCTCGAAATTTAGCAGTGGAACAAGGTAATAACGAAAACTGTACAACGATCTTTTGTTTTGATATTTCTTATACGTTATATTGTTAACACGAATCATAAATATACTTATTTTTGTATCTATGATGTTGAATGACAATTATATAGTATAGATAATTACAGGATTAAATTGTAAATGTACTGTGAATTAGAATAATGCGTTTAGTTTCTTTTACCACACATTGTTGTTTTGCGTGATTGTTGTGCTCTATATCGGTAAATCCCTGAGGCAGAAGGAGTGTGTACAAGAACGGAATTTTAATATTCCCGATTTATTTTTTATTTTTATTTTTGGTTTTGCATGATAATTATATTCAAATGAAACTCATATACTTATATTTTCTATTCCTATCTTTGTATTTACAATAATGAGGTCATGCACATAGAATTCAAGAGCAACAAAAGGATTTATTATTTATAATAGTAATTTAGTTAGTTTTTTTTGTAACTTTGGTGCTGACTATCTAATAGGATTAGCACGAAGAGTAAAAACATAAAATATATTGAACAAATATTTTTATAGTTATTATTTATCATTATCTTGCCATATGTAAATCACTTCCAAATTGTTTAACAGGAGTTAAACAGGAGTTAAGAAATATAAAAGCAACAGCCATATCTCGTATTGCTGACAAACTGTGTTTATCTAAAAGTATTATTACAAAAACTACAAAAGAAAGTTTTCGTGTTTTAGCAATGTAACCAGAAAATAAAGAAAAGAGTGTAACAACCTTTTGTTTTAATATTTTTTATACATTATACTGAATTGTTAGAGTAACCATGTTATCAATAATTTACTGCACGGAAGATATCTTTAATTTTTTTTATCTTTTCGCTAACAATCTACACTGAAAATGCTCATAAGGCATTATCTTGGTTTCATTCAATGCTGTAATTTCTAATGAAAGTTGTTTGACCTCTTTCACAGACTCAGATATTAAAGACTGTAGAGACCCTACAGAGAAAGTGAGAGAGAAAGAGAGAGAGAGATACTCTCTCCTGCCATCTAGTTTATAAAACGGTAATTACTTTAACAATTATAATTTCTTGAATGTAAATTTTATGCAATGCAATAAAATTCCAGAAAAAGACTATTTCTTAAAATTAACACCCTGAAAATGATTGTATATAATTTTACAAGTGCACAGTGATCATTTACTGATGAAAATATCCTTATACATTGTTTTGCTAATCTTCTGTAAGGACTAATGATTCTATTGAGAATATTTAAGTGTATAAATTCTGATATTCTAAATATTTTTATTTTTAGTAGTTCAATTGTTTGTTTCGCAAATTTTTGTTATATTTAAGAACTCCCAAAGGAAAATAATTTTAACCACTACAAATCGAAACTTGTACACTGCGCAGGTAAGAGACGGAAATAATACTACCACTTTTTATAAGGCATCAGAATATTTGATTTGTCTAATGGCTGAATGACTTTCACTTTTGTTTTGATATGAAATTAGTTTTTCCAACGACTTGTTTTAAGACATCTCTAACGAAAATATATCATAAGAAAGGGTTAACACTCAGAGAATGATTGGTAAGTTATGATGAAGTTGAAAGAGAAAACGACGTAAAAAATAAACCAGGTATGAAAACTAGAGTTAAGAGCAGTTTAATTAAAATAAAAATCTACGATTTGTCATTTAGGTCAGCGTTTCTCAACCTTTTCGATACCAGGGAGTGATTTACTGCCTCCCTACACTGTCGCAAACCGCTAAAATTCATATACAACGAAAACCCATTACGATTTGTATACGAATATTCTGTCAGTTTTTCTTTGTTTGTTTTCGTGAAATCCCACAGACCGGCAAGGTGGATGTGGCGGACCAGTGGTTGTAAAACACAGATTTAGGTTAGATGTGCCATAAATTTAATTCACATCAGTCTTTTCAAGCCAAATAAAATAAGCGGTTATTGTTTTTCAACCACATTTTGTGAATTATTTAACGATGATTTTATTTATGATATATTTTCCTATATCGTGGTATAATTACAAGATTAGTTTAAACAGAAATTCTTTATGTTATTTAACTCATAATCCTCATTTTTGAATGAAAATATTGAGGTGTTTAAAATATTTTTGGACCAGAAACGTCGAGAGCCAGCACGGGCCCAGGGGCAAACATCCTCGCCGGGACCCTTTCTCTCTCTTTATTTTAACA